TTTCTTTTCGGGTAGCCTGTTTTGCAAATCGCACTGAACAATTAGTCCTTAGCGTCTGTTCTTAAATCAGTAAAAAAAAATACAAGAAATACACACGGCCAGGTTTAGACTAATACGTCTTAGTTTTAAAATAGCATTTTAGAATGAAACGATCCACGTCCACACTGAAGTCTCATCTAGCATTTCTGAAAAGATCTCCATCCACACAACACAACTAAAAACACACATCACATGACCACTCACACACAAACACACAAAAACACTCTGTCATGCGCTGCAGCGTCTGAGCTCCAGCAGTCAGCCAAGAGAGAAGTGCACATTGAACAGTTTATCAAGGATGTACCGCTGGATCGCTATAGTTGTTAAATGTGATATTTAATTAATCTTGTCTCTATCTAACGACTCTTCAGTCTTTAGAATCTATCAGGTGACGTGTCACAGCGTCAGTACACTCGTTCAATCTTTCACTTTGATGCTTGTACTTAGTCATTTTAGCGAAAACCTTAGATACTGTTGGTTGGTTGCTGTTGGTTGTGCACCTTTTTACAAACCAAGTTTGTCGACGCCATTATAAGGACACAGATCACTCTGCCTATTCATGCCAGAGTCATTCAGAAAAAGTGATTGACAGGTGGTAATTTGTGTGTAACTTATCTTTATTTATTTATGATTTGGTTATGGGTAAAACAAAGACGATGTGAGCCAGGTAGTTAAAACTGTAGGCTGCAAATAATTAATTCTTTATGAATTAAGTAATTATTCATAAATAGTTAATTCACCACCACCTATGGGGACGATGCCATCGTCCATTATGATGTTTTACATTAGACATCGTACAATGCCAAATTGGTCAACATCGCCTAACCCTAATTAAAATTATTTTAGTTTGGAAATATTTTCCATATTAAAAGGAGTTTTTGTCCAAACCAACACATGAAGTTTCTAATGTTAGAAATGGCTTCTATTTCTCACTGGTGGACCACAGGATATGATCACCAGGTAGAGCTTGTGTGCTTTATTCAGTGTTAAATGCTAATAATGTGAGTTTGAATGTCATTTTACATGGCATTTATTGCCCTACTACTGAAAGCAGCAGCAGATAGTTCATCTCAGATCATGAAAATAAAATAAATTGTTTGAAACTGAACTTTAGAACTGTGACTCAGTGCAAGCAAACACATTTCAGTGATTCAGCATCTATATTTAATAATGTTAAAGAGGGTTAAATATCTATTAATTAGATCATAAACCTTACCATTTTGTTGAAGTGCAGTGAGTGCACTATTGACTAATATGCCATCATAAATTGTGAAAATAACCAATAGAAGAAGGCTTTAAAACAAAATTAATTTTTGATTATTCAAATGGTCAAATTGTGACTGAGGAAAATTGAATGAGCTGTCCAGTTTGTTATTTGCCTATAGGCTACTTTAGGCAAATAACAAATAAAAACTAATAAGCACTCAAGTTTTAACAGATTTGATTGATGATAAATTGATGATAATAAATTTTCATATTTCTTTATAAAAAAAATTCTAATCTCATAACATTATTTATAAATCTGTAAAAACTTAGTTTAAATGCACATTTGTATACACTTCATAGTCAAATAGTATTGTAAGCACTTCAACAAAATTGTAGGAAATATTTTTGGTAGATCAAAAAGTCTGGTCACTATCCAACAAGCTAATCCAGCAATGCTTAGTTCTTAAAATATCACTAAAATCCAGTATTTTAACCCCATAATTTAATAGAAAACGAGGCGAATAACTGCAAAAATGTCCACTTTTTGCGAGAAAAGAACATCCTCCTTCAATAGGCTGGTTATGAAACAGGGTTACATTGTAACCTTCTCACCTAATGTTTACGTTCATAATATTTATATTATTTGCTAATTAATAAGCACCTCATGCGTCAGACTCTGCAGGAGTCTGCTAATGTCCACCGAAGGTCGCATATCAGTCGCGGATGCATACTTTGAGAGTCTTTCTGAATGAATGAATGAATGAATGAACTATGGGGTTTTCCACCAAGGCAACATAAGATGCTGAAATATAATTGGCTAAAGTGGCAGTGGGCGGGTTAAAAGACCAAAACAAAGACAGCATTCCGGCACATAACGCACATTTTCAAAGCAGAATATCTGACTTTAGCATTGTTTTTCTGGTAAACAAGTATGTTCACTTCGCATGTTTCTTAAACTTCTGCTAATATATTATGGTTTTTGAGAGTCAAAAATAAGATAAGAGAGATCAAAAACGTTTGGAGTAAATTTCGAAGCCTGATAGCAGTGTATATTTCTTTTATGATCACCTGTTTTGCAAATCGCACTGAACAATTAATTCGTCATAAGCATCCGTTGTTGAATAAGTCAACTACTGATTCAAATGATCCAGTCAAGGCATATCTTCATTTAAAGAGACAGTTCTCATAAACATGAAAATATAGTCACTATTTACTCACCATCAAGTTGTTCCAAACGTTTATAAGTTATATAAGAAATTTTGCAGAATATTTTGCAGAATATTACAAAGCAGTAACCGTTGACTTCTATTGGAGAACAAAAACTAAGTACATGATTACCTTTTTATTTATTCTTCAAATGATCCTCTTTTGTGTTCAACAGAGGAAAAGAAATGCAGATTTGTGACTAGTGAAGGGTGAGTAAATGAGGAGATCATTTTCATTTTTGGGTGAACTATCCCTTTAATACACAGATTTAAATAATCCATTCAGAGTGAGTCTCCAGTTAATGATTCGCTGAATTCACAAATTCAAAATGAGCCAAAAACAGCAGATCCTCTGAGCTTTCCACTGAAACTGTATGATTTATTATTGAACATGAAAATCATTTGGGTCTCAACTGTCTGTTGTTTGTAAGGAGAATGTGCTGTAAAAAGGCAAGCAGTTTGAGCCCACTGTTTGAAATGCTTGAATGTAGAAGTCAACATTTGTTAAGCAGAAAAACATATAAATAAAATAACACAAATTTGATTGGCCTATTTTAATATTGTTGATTTCATCTTAAATAATTGTATGCACCTAATATGATCAACTACATTTGTCAAAATGGGCATAAAATAACATGAAACAACTTGTGTACATAATGATGGGTAATGCATTGCACTCCATTTTCACTCCAGTACAACTTCCGTTACATGAGTGACGAATGTTGAGTGGATTTGCAGGTCTTTTATCACTTATTTGATTGAAGTGCCAAATTATTTATTAATTATTTATTTATTTTCTGTTCCTTTTTTATTTTATTTTGTTTTATTTTAGTTCTTTCTTTCCTTTTTCTTCTGTTCTTTCTTTCTTATTTGCATGTACACTTCTTTCTTTCTTTCCTATTTGCTTGTATACTTCTTTCTTTCCTATTTGCATGTACACTTCTTTCTTTCCTATTTGCATGTACACTTCTTTCTTTCTTTCTAATTTGGATGTACACTTTTTTCTTTCTTTCTCTCTTTCTTTCTTTCTTTCTGATTTGCATGTACACTTTTTTCTTTCTTTCCTATTTGCATGTACACTTCTTTCTTTCTTTCTTATTTGCATGTGCACTTCTTTCTTTCTTTCTTTCTTTCTTATTTGCATGTACACTTATTTCTTTCTTTCTTTCTTTCTTTCTTTCTTATTTGCATGTACACTTATTTCTTTCTTTCTTTCTTTCTTTCTTTCTTTCTTATCATGGTAAATTTAGGCCCTTCTGGTCGATTTTGTTACTATAGACACAATTTGTTCTCATTAATGGCCTTTTAATGGAGGTGAGAAAACATTTACAATTGTGAATTATTATTTTTAATAAAAAAAAATCTATACTATATTAATATATTTTAAAATGTCATTTGTTTGTTCATTTTCTTTTCGGCTTAGTGCCTTTATTAATCTGGGGTCACCACAGCAAAATGAACCGCCAACTTATCCAGCATATGCATTACGTAGCAGATGCCCTTCCAGCCACAACCCATCACTGGGAAACATCCTTGCACATCATTCACACACATAAACTACGGACAATTTAGCCTACCCAATTCACATGTTTTTGGAGTTGTGGGGAAACCAGAGCACCTGGGAGGATACCCACGCCAACATGGGGAGAACATGCAAACTCTACCTTCTTGCTGTGAGGCAAACCTGCTACCCACTGCTCCACCATGCAGCCCAAAATATTATTCACTCAAAAAATATTTGTAGTAACTTTTTTAAATGGGTTGAAACAACACAATTATTGAGATTTTGTTGGGACAACTTAATTGTTTTATGTTAAATCCACTTTAATTTGCAAAAAAAAAAAAAAACTAATAGATTACCTTAATTCCTTCATGTTGTCTTAACACAAATTGATTGTGTGGAACCCAGAATTTTTTTACAGTGGTAATTCCTTTGATTCAGGCTCAATTTTCTGCACAATTACTTCAGCATTTACTGCCACAAGGTAACATTTCTTATAATTATCAATGCTGGAAATAAATTTTTGTCCTGATTTGTTTTCAGGATTCATGTGCACATTTGCTGGATAAAAGCATTGATTTCTTTTAAAATCTTTTTTATTTTATTTTTTTTTGCATATTATTCACTAAGTTGTAATAGGCCTTATACCCAGCAAGCATTTTTTTTTAAAAGATGTCTAATAGACATATAAACATAGTCTAAAACAAGACTAAATTTTGGCTGTCAGTAAAAATCTAATAGATGTCTAAGAATAGGCCAAGACTAGACTAGTCATTAAATAAACAGAAATGAATGACTACACATATAGGGTCTGTATGATCTGTCAGTTTGACAAGTCTAGTTTTGGGCTATTCTTTGATGTCTATCATATTTTCACTGACAGATCAAGTTTAGCCTTGTTTTAGTCAAACTGTCTACATTTAGATGTCTATTAGACATCTATTAAACACAAAAGTGTTTGCTGAGTAACGCCAATAATTTAATTAACAACATAGCCGGAGAAAAAAAAAAACAATAGAGAAGAAAGTAAAGCAAAGCTCATTTCTTACCTTGAACATTGCCAGCCCAACTCCCATTGTCTCTCCTCAACTCCTGCATGATGATGTGAGCTGGGTCTTGTCTCGTCCTCTCATAGCCCTGGATGAAGGTGTTACTGACCGCTGAAGTAGTTTGAAGGATTGGTAAGAAAAAGTAGGGGTGGTGTAAAGACCGTGGACAAAAGTAAACTCCAGGCTGGATGGCTGAGCACAGGCTACACTGAATCAAAACTATCAAGAAATGTCACTCAAGAAAAGTAGGGAAGATGCCTGGCTCAGAAATGAAGACAAAATTAAAGACAAGTAAGGTTTGAGCTATGCGAATGATGTTCAGTCACTCAAGAAAAGTTAAAAGTCTTATATCAAATCTAAGAAATGGATATTAAAGTTGAAAATGAACCAGGACAAAGATAGGCCTACAAAATGTAATATAAAATGAAAAAAGAGAAGAAGATAAAGAGTTTCTTGGTTAGACTAAAAGTTCATTTTCATCTGTAAACAAGTCCACAAACTCTGGAGTATCTCGATGTCCAGCAGAATCCAGTAGTGAGAGGCTTGTAGAAGTGCTGTCTGGTCTTATATTGTCATTGGTTCAGGTATCCATATAAGTCCTTCAGGACCGAGTCCTTCTCATGACACTATAGAAACAGAAAAAACAGAAGTATTGTCAGATTTTCAGTCTAATGACTTTAAAGGTCTAATTTGATGACTTTAAATAACTAAATGAGATCTTTTTTTCCCTTTTGTTCAAATATTTCAATTGATCTAATATAATAAATGCTTAACTATTTTGGAGCACAGAGGGGACAGGTGTTTGACAAAAACAGGGACACACTTACAAATGCATACTAATATATTTATGTGTGATATTTAGTCATGTTACTTACCAGTCTAACTGTCCTGTGGCATTTCATCATTATTTGGGTAATGTTACAAAAACATGATACACAAGACAGAGGGCGAGTGCAAGCATTCAAAAACAAGACAAGATGGTTGACCTTCCTTTGATATATCCGTTTCACCCAATAATAGGTTTGTTTGTAAGAAAAAAAAAAAAGTCTTATAAGTTCATTCAAGAGAAAAAATGGTGATGATGGATTTAAGATGTCTAAAGAAATTTCCATAAAACATCTGAAGCTGAATTTCAGGAGATTACATAGAAGCAATCACAAAAAAGTTAGCGTCAGCTTAAAAGTGATGCACAGAAAATAAAACATCAGCATGAATGAAAAAAGGAGATGCTCTGATTTCTTTCCATATGAAGTTCTTGGATCACCATCCCCTTCATAAACTTAAATAACTGACAACATTTTTTAATTTTATTTAATTTCCATATTCAGAGGTAATAAAACATATTACATGAAATAAATCGAAAGAATATCAATAAAAAATAATAATAATTCTGTCACGAAATGTATCAAATGATGTGTAAAACTGATTTAAAAAGGATCATTTAGGAGGTATACATAACTTACAGTGGGGAGTGAAAAGTTTTCATTCTCTAATGAGCTTGAAGTCATACAGTGGTCATGTACAACAGCTAAAATAACAGATGCTCCAAATAAATCAAGAGGTGGTGATAAGAAAAAAAGAGATGCGATGACAGCCTGTCCGAAAAAGGAAAGGATGAGCAGATAAAACCGAGGCGAGTGACAGAAGAAAATTAAACACTCAATAAAACGAAGGAGTGACCATAACAGCGCAAATGGACTCAAGCTGGCAAGGAGGTGAAACAAAAAATGACTGCTGCACTAAAACCTAATCAATTTTTTGAGCAAAGACCAATTTATTGTTCACAATTCAGGTTTCATGATTCAACAGCTCAGAGGAGGCTGTCGACAACACAAATCACAAGTTGGAAATGTGTCCATAAAGAGAGAATGAGGCAGTGACGCCAACCTCACCCATCTCAGGCAAAGAACCGAAGCAGAAGCTCATCTGAAATGTGTCTGCAACCGTTTCTCGAACAAATAAAAGACACCAATGCTTGCACTGGAGATGAATGGAGAATGTTTCTGAACGGGCAGCTCAAGACCAGATGTGCATGATAGTGTGTTTATGTGTTTAGTGTGTGTTACAAAAGAAAGAGAGAACAAATGTTTTCCTATTTGTAGGTGACAGTGGAAGATGGACACGTTTGGAGAAGGGAGAAAATGGCCATGGAGAAGTGATTTTTAATTCCTGACACCTGACTGTCCATTCGTTTAATGACGGTGTGTGTATGTGTATGTGTGTGTTGATGTGTGTTTTATGTACATGTAAAAATAGGAACACACAAGTACACACACACACAGACAAACAGACCGGACAGACACTAAACAAGCCGTCAAACCTACCTAGAAGAATATTAAAGCATCCAGGGAAAAAAAGAGTGATACGTGAGGGTAGATGGTGGAGGATCAAAAGAACTGTTTGAAAAAAAAGACAGAAAGAGAAAGAAAACGAATTTAAAAAAAACGATAAGGAGATGGCTTGTGAGTTCCTTTCGCAATTCCAACCAACTTTCATTCAGGGAGCATCACACTTTCCAGATGAAAGGATGGAGGGAGGGATGGAGGGATAAGGGGATGATCTGAGGGAAGGAGAGACAGGTGAGGGAATGAAGGGGGTCATAAATAGTCAAAAACGAGAGTAAATAAAAGAAAAAAACTTGCCCCTTCTTTCTCTTCGCCCCTGCCTCGTCATAAATAGACAAAATTATACACCAAATAAATGGAGAAATAGATCAGGAGGCAAATGATGGAGAGAGCGAACAACTGAAAGGATGATGTGCCTCCCAGCACCACGATGAGAAAGAAGAAAAAAACAAAACGAAAGAAAAAAACAAATACTCCAGTGCCTTCCGTTTTCCTTCCTTTCTTTTAAACAGGGAGAGCAGTCAGTTTGCTCCGGCTGTCCAGTTGTTGCTTTAGTTCTTCTCTTTCTCTTTCTTATCTCTCTCACTCTTTTTTCCACTCTTTCTCCCCCTTTCTTTTGGCTTCTGTTGAAGGAGTCCTCCGTTTGCAATAAATAATAGCCCTTTTCCACAGACAGTGACTGAGGCAGAACAGTAGGAAGAGGTGTAATGGTTGCGATGTCTGCCCAAGAATTCCACACCTCGAGTCTGTGCTCTCTCACTCACTCACTCACTCACTCACGCTCTCTCTTGCACCCCTCCCTTATGGACAGAGCGCTGTGGAGTAGGAGTGAGCCAAAGAAAAGAAGAATGAGAGGGGTCCCTCTGCAGGATTACTGCACAATTGACAGAGAGAAAGAAAGAAAAAGGATGAGAATGTCTTCTTAATTCCAGTTCAGACAAGGTGTAATATGGATTGAAGCAGCAACCATATTGCAATTTGATTTTGAGATGGAGCGCATAAGTTACACCTAGAAGAACATTAAACATTTTAGCTCTAATTATTGACTCCCCTGTAAACAAGTCTGTAAAAGTGTTTTCCATTTATTTACGGTTGTAAATTGCATTATGGGAGGTCGACTCTGATCTGTTTGACTTTGGGTGTTGAAAATTCAACTCTACAGTTGAACAAAGTGACTTTTATTGACATTTTTGTAGTTGTACATATAATGTATAAGAAATAATATATAGAGAAATAAAGCTGTTGTAGAGAAACAAGGCTTTTGCACTGTAATATACAACACCAACCCAGGCAATAACTCATTTTAAACTATTTAAAAAGTTTATAAAAGTCTCTTTTTCAAACTTTTCAGGGTTAAAGAAGAAAGATCAAGATCCACAATCAGCCAATTCAAATGTTATCTCTCGACTGAATATGCGTTATCAATGGTTATCAGCTGATAGATATGGGCCAGTATAGGGGATGTTATCATCCATTCACATGGTTAGTCATCTATAGATCACATATGACTGCAGACAGAAGTTAACGAGAATTATTTATTCTATTTAATACATTTCCCATTAAGGCGACACGGTGACGCAGTAGGTAGTGCTGTCTCCTCACAGCAAGAAGGTCACTGGTTCGAGCCTTGGCTGGGTCAGTTGGCATTTCTGTGTGGGTAAGCTAAATTGTCCGTAGTGTATGAGTGTGAATGGGTGTGTATAGATGTTTCCCTGTGATGGGTTGCAGCTGGAAGGGCATCCGCTGCGTAAAAACATGCTGGATAAGTTGGCGGTTCATTCCGCTGTGGCGACCCCAGATTAATAAAGGGAATAAGCCGAAAAGAAAATGAATAAATGAAATTTCCCATTAATTGAATTTATTAAGGTCTACCCCTACCCCAACCATCACAGTATATGTAAAAACAGATCTGGATGTGGAGTCTTCTCTATTAGTATAGCTGATTAACCACGATAATTATTTATAATATTTATTAAATTTCTCATTATTTGTATTTTATTAACGTCTACCCCTACCCCAACCCTAAACCCAACTGTCACAGTAATGTAAAAACAGATCTGCATCTGGAGTCTTCTCTATTAACCATGTGGATGGATAATAAACAGCTTTCTGAGCCTACCAGTAGGCGCAGAAGACCCCTCCTGACCCATATCTAACAGCTGATAACCACCGATAACGCCCATTCAGTCGAGTGATGACATTCAAACTGGGTATCCTAATGCAATTCAAAAGCATAAATATATGAGGAAAAAAATAAAATAAAAACATGAATTACAAAACAAGGAAAACTGCTAATTTATGGATATTTGTAGTGTAATTATCTAACAAGAATTTGATAAAACTTTACAATAAAGTCCCTTTTTTTAAAAAAAAAATACTTCAAAAGCATTTTCATTAATTTCCACATTAACAAATCCAACTCTTCAATTTAATAATATAATAGTAATTATTACAATATAATGAACAGCTGAATGCTTGTTAACTAACATTTAAGGGCACCTATGATGAAAATCAAATCAGTTGGTGTGTGGACAAAACTGTGTGTAGGTATATGCAAAGTTCTCAACCTTTTTCACTTCGAGGCCCACCTCCTTCTCCGAAATGTTTTTAATAGGCCCACGCCTGGCACTTTTTCTTAAACTGATAGTCTAAAGAAAATGCTTATTTAAAACCTTTATTTATTATCAAAATATTTCCTTTGCTTGTTCTATTATTATCTTATTTTCTACAGCATTTTATTTAAAATATATATATATATATAGAAAATTAAATGTAGAATATTTAATAATATATATTTTATTTTATTTTTACAACACACACAGATTCAAAGCTTCTGAATTATGAAGAGTTTTTGGGCATTTTCTTTAATAAATGAACCTTTACAGGACAAAGATGACAAAAAAGCTGCTGCTTTGAAATGGACTCACTACTATTCATCTACTGATTATCTCTATTAAAAATAAACAAAAAAGTATAATACAGTAAAAAAACTTTAAGTCTGTTGAAACGCATCGATCTGAAGGCGGTTGGGTTTTTAGGATATTATTGAAGTTCGCTAACAGTAGGGAACAGCCATTACACCAATCCTTTTATATAAAACTTATTTAATAATTAAATCAAATAATTATAGCACAATAATTTAGTTTATTTTAATTCTCGCGGCACACCTGTAGCATCGCTGAGGCCCACTAGTGTGTCCACTGTCATATTGGAGTGATATAAACACAACAAGTCTCTTTTTTTAAATTTCTTGACATTAATATATATATATTATATATTATCAAAGTCAGAATTATTAGCACCTCTGAATTATTCACCCCCCGTTTATTTTTCCCCCAATTTCTGTTTAAAGGAGGGACGATTTTTTTTACACATTTCTAAACATAAGGCTAATAATTCAGACTTCAGCTGTATGTATATATATATATATATATATATATATATATATATATATATATATATATATATATATATATATATATATATATATATATATATACATACAGTTGAGGTCAGAATTATTAGCCCCCTGAATTATTAGCCCTCCTGTTTATTTTTTCCCCCAATTTTTAGAGAAGATTTTATTCAACACATTTCTAAACATAATAGTTTTAATAACTCATTTCTAATAACTGATTTATTTTATCTTTGCCAAGATGACAGTAAATAATATTTTACTAGATATTTTAAAGACACTTTTATACAGCTTAAAGTGACATTGAAATGCTTTACTAGGTTAATTAGGTTAACTAGGCAGGTTAGGGTAATTAAACAAGTTGTATAATGATGGTTTATTCTGTAGATCAAAAATATAGAGTTTAAAGGGGCTAATAATTTTGTCCTTAAAATGGTGTTTTAAAAACATTGTTACATTGACCATGTGAAGTTGGTCATGTATATACAAAAAAAAATCTACATAAAATTTTATTACAACTATACAGAGAAGCCAAAAGAGAAGAAATATGCAGATTCACGATACAATAGGTACAATATGAAAATTGTTCCTGCTCTCTTGTTAGTACAGAGGACAAAAGCATATATCCCATACTCTTTTAGGATGCTCTACAAAGCTAAAACAAAGTCGTAAAATTTTTATTCTAGCCAAAATAAAACAAATAAGACTTTTTCCAGAAGAAAAAATATTATCAGACATACTGTGAAAATTTCCTTGCAATATTTATATAATATATAAATATTTAAAAAAGAAAAACAAAAATCAAACTGTATATGTGTTTGTGTGTGTGTGTGTGTGTGTGTGCAATGCAAATAACATTTGTGTGAGACGCATTATTTCAGAAAGCCTGAATAAACTCCACCACAACTACATGAAATAAATTTACCTGGTATTTTTGACTAATTAGCTGTATTCCAGCTTCATTCGTGTCTATCACTGACTGCTGTTTATCTGCTGTAACACATGAGAAGCAGACATGCACGTGGAAGCGGAGGGAGCAGTTCATTTGGATTTAAAGCCACAGGCTACAAAAACAGCTACACTGTACTCAGACACAAAAATGGGCAGATTATGGAGGCTATAATAAATAATCTGATGGGTATTTTGGGCTGAAACTTTACAGACGCATTCTGGAGACACCAAAGGTTTATCTTATATCTTGTAAAAGGGGTAAAATAGCTGCCCTTTAATAAATTTGTATAAATACCGCAATATGCATTACCTAATGTTAAATAATGGACTTAACCATAAACTGTTACTGAGAAATCTTTTCTATGTGACTACTAGCATTTCCTTACATTCCAGCTCAGTAACTGTGGCATGTGCGTAATTCAATTAAAATTCCAGCTCATTAATTGAAATGGAGCCAATACTTAATTCCGCTTATTCCCCGGTCCTACTCAGATACTAATTTTGTACGGCTGCATTACCACTCCATCTGTCATCGGTCTGAGATTTCTGTGTTCAAGTGAATGTCTGCTTCTCAGATGTCTGCTCTCTCAAGGACTCTCTCTCTCTCTCTTTCTCTAGATTCTTGGCTTCAGCTACTGATCACTTGTGCTTTTGATCCTCCATTTCTTGGCACCTGTCTCCCACTTCTTTTTGAAAAACTCACACAGACTGTCTGCCTGTTGCTCTTTCCCTCTGTTGATCATTTTGAAACAGACAAAAATATAAGAAGAGTTATAGAAGAACCACAGAAATTGTGCAAATTTGGATTGTTATTATAATAAATAAATAAAATAAATAAATACAATGTACTAACTGCGATCATAATCTAACACTTCTGGTGCTCTTAAAGTGAGAGGGTTAGGGATAGATTTGGTGGTATGGATAGGTTTAAAGTTTCCATGAAGTGCTTTGAAATGTGCATTTTGATTTGACATTTTATATAAGCCCCTTTCACACAGTGATACCAGTAAATAACCGGAAAATTTCCAGAACGACTTACCTGTAAATTCAAAAAAGTGCTGTTCACACAGACAAGGATGTTACGGAATTTTTCCGGAAAAGAGCATTCACACATATATTCCAAAATACAGGTAAATTCTGACATCATTAACCAGAAATGAGCTCTAAACAGCTGCGGTTGTACTTGTAAACATTTGACTACATTACAAACTTTGTAGATAGATAAGTACGGTGAACAACTTTGATGAAAACATATGGAAGAACACTTTCGAATACCGGGGTGTTCATAATATGTGTGTGTGCTGGCACCCACCGTTTGCGTTACGTGCACACGTGTCAGAGCTTGAAGGTAAACAAACAACGGAATATCATAAACATTTTATTTATATATTTTTTAAACCCAGCTG